CCAACTGAGCTACCCGGCCAGGGCCAGAATCTGCATTTAAAAACTTTTTTTTTTTTTCTTTGTTGATTTTAGAGAGAGGAGTAAGGAAAGGGAGAGCGAGACAGAAACATTGATGAGGGAGAACATCGACTGGCTGCCTCCTGCATGCCCCTCACCGGGGATCGGGCCCACAACCTGGGCATGTGTTCTGACCGGGAATCGAACCGGTGAGCTCTTGGTGCATAGGTTTATGCTTAACCACTGAGCCACATGGGCTAAACTAATTTTTTTTAATTAATTCATTTTCTAGTTACAGTTGACATACAATATTATGTTAGTTTCAGGTATACAGCATAGTGACTAGACATTTATGTACCTTATTAGGTGATCACCCTAGTAAGTCTAGTACCCATCTGACCCTTATGTGGTTATTACAATATTAATGACTCTACGCCCATTGCTGTTCTTTACATCCCGTGACTATTTTGTAAACAAATTAGTGCTTCTTAATCCCTTCACCCTACCTCCCAACCCTCCTCCAATCTGGTGACCTTTAATTTGTTCTCTGTATCTATGTGTTTGTTTTGTTTTGTTTTGTTTGTTCATTTATTTTGCTTTTTTAGATTCCACATATAAGTGAAGTCATATGGTTATTTGTCTTTCTCTGTCTGACTTCACTTAGCATCATACCCTCTAGGTCCATCCATATCATCACAAATGGCAAGATTTTGTTCTTTTTTTATGGCTGAGTAATGTTCCATTGTATATATATACCACATTTTCTTTATCTGTTTGTCTGTCAGTGGACACTGAGGGTTGCTTCCATGTCTTGGCTATTGTAAATAATGCTGCAGTGAATATGGAGGTGTGTGTATCTTTTTGAAGTAGTGTTTTGGATTTCTTTGGGTAAAGACCCAAAGTGAAAATGCTGGGTCATATGGTAGTTTTATTTTTAGTTGTTTGAGGAACCTTCATACTGTTTTCTGTAGTGGCTGAACCAGTTTATATTCCCACTAATAGTGCATGAGGGTTCCCTTTTCTCCACATTCTCACTGACACTTGTTTGTTGATTTATTGATGATCGTCACAGAGTCTGCATTTTAATAAGGTCGCCAGGTGATCCTGCTTGTCATTAAGTCAGAAGCACTGCTGTAATGAGGCACAGTGCCCTTGGGTTAATCAGGAGGAGAGGCAAGGGCATGGGCAGGGAGGAGGAGGGACCCTTGGCACCTGTGTGTTCGTTGTGTGTTTTTATACAGCAGCCCTTTGAAATACGCATCTAGTTCCTTTTTAAGGTAAGAAAACAGTTTCAGGGATGCCTAAAAGTTGTCCCAATAGACACAGCTAATCTGTATTGATCTGAAAGTTACAGGCAGACCTGGCCCAGTATTACTCCATGCTACCCGTCAGCAAGAACTGTCACATTGGGGGATGTCAGGCAGATGGGCTAAGCAGGTGGCTGCATTGCAGTCTAAGACATGCAGAGTCGAGTGGGTATAGAGGCCTGACAAGAGACACCCTAGAGGCAGCTCGTTTGCAGAAGTTTTACAAACATAATGGGCAGTAATGATTCAATTGGACTGGGGTGGGGCTAGGCAGTAGGATTTTGTGGAAGTTCCCAGGTAATTCTAACATGCAGCCGAGGTTGAAAACCACTGCTGTGGGCATAGAAGGCGTGTTTGAAGATCTAATCTGCATCATCATCGTCTTCCTCCCTTGGCCCAGATACCTGGCTTCCCTGCGTGGCCACGTGGCTGCCGTGTACCAGATTGCGTGGTCAGCTGACAGCCGGCTCCTGGTCAGTGGCAGCAGTGACAGCACATTGAAGGTGTGGGATGTGAAGGCCCAGAAGCTGGCCACAGACTTGCCAGGCCACGCGGATGAGGTTCGTCCGACCCTGGGGGCAAGGGGTGGGGTGGGTATGGAATTGAAACCTGGCCCCTCTCCTTCACCCTCCTCATTGCCCCACTTCCCCTCTTCTTCCTTTTTGGTTTAGGTATATGCTGTAGACTGGAGTCCAGATGGCCAGAGAGTGGCAAGTGGTGGGAAGGACAAATGCCTCCGGATGTGAGTTGGGGGAGGTGGTGTGCCGGGCTCCTTGAGTCAGTCACTCTTTGTGACTTTCCCTTCTGGCATAGAATTCTGTGGGTTCGCCAGGTACCCAGACTGTCCTGAGACAGTGTGTGGAGCCAGGTTCTCAGTGGGCAGTGGGAGTGCTGTGGGAATTGCAGGGATGTGGGAGACCCTGACAGGTCTGAGGCCACTCTCCAGAGGGCGAGTCCAGGGTTGGTCCAGTGTGAGGCATTACTTCTTTGCTAGCACTAGACGTGGGAGTCCTAAGACCAAGTTCAAGTCCTGGTTCTGCCTTTCAACGTGCAGTCCTGGAGAGCTTGGTTAACCTGTCTCTTGGGGGTCACTGAACTTCAGTAGACAGGAATCTCAAAGATAGAAAGGGAACACACCTTGGAACCTGAAGCATTGTGTACTTGTAAAGGACTGTCACTGTTCGTCATTGGACAACCGTGGTGGGCATCCCAGGGGCTGGGCCTTGGCCTGAGGCCCTGGTGAGGCAGGTGGTGGGTACCCAGCCTGAGTGAGGCAGACGGTTGCCAGGCTCTGGATGCCTGATGGGAAACCACACATTTTCCCCATAGTGGGCTCCTGGGATTACATGGCAGCCTTTCTTTCCTGCGTGGACTACCCATTCCATTCCCTCCCCTTCTCCACAGATGGAGGAGATGAGAAATCCCACAGTGCTCTCTGACTCCACCTGGACTCAGCCTGTGCCAGCTGCCTGCCCTGACAGAGATCAGAGGCTGGGGTGGTGACCTGGAGAACAGTGTGGCCTGCTGTCCTTGCACAGACCCCTATGGGGTCCCTCCCCAGAGCAGGAGATTGGAGGGCACAGGTGGTTACCACGGAGCTCAGCACTTGGCCATCGCTGTAGCTTTCTGGTGCTGCCAGGGGTGGATAGAGGCCAGGCAATGGCTAGACCCTTGCTGCTGCCCCCACCTCCTTTCCCAGGATCGACCCCAGTTCTGTGACCAAATAAATAACTTATATTTTGTGTGTTTGGGTTATAATCCCTTGTCTGGAATCCCAGGGCTCAACCAAGGTCTGTGCTAAGCCAGTCTGTAGCTTCCTGTGCACTGGGCTACATGAAAACCATGCTGGCCAGGAAGTCGCCTTGCCTCTCCCCCCTGTGCCTGCAAGGGAGGGGCCAGGTGAGGCTGGAGAGGCAGGCTGAAGTCCCTGTGAGTAGTCAGAATAATCCAAGGCTGTGCCGTCTGATGTGGCATGCACTAGCCACGTGTAGCTATTTTCATTAACTAGCATTCCATACCGTTAGAAATGCTGTCCTCAGTCACACTAGCTCAAGGCTATCTACTGTACATATTAGCACTATCATCACAAGGAGTTCTCAGCCCCTCACCCAACACACTTCTCGAGGCCTTGCCATGCACTGAGCACTGTGCCAGGCTCTCGGGGTACAGCTGGGAAGGTGATGGCTGTCCTGAAGAACTAGTGGGGCACACAGTGGTGCGAGCTGTAGCAGAAGTGGGTGTAGTGTGATACGGAAGGATGGTTCTCTGTCCCGTGAGGACTTCACATAGTGAAGGGATCCCCCACCAGGACGTCCACAGACCCTTGACCAAGATCTTGCCCTCCATGCATCCTGCCTCCACGTTCTGTTCCAGTGCTAAGGTGGATCGACTGAAGGTTGAACTTCTAAACCACCCTTATATGGACTGCTCAGGACCACAGCATTTCTTTTTCTTTTTTTTTTTTTTTTTTTTAATTTTAGAAAGAGGGAGGGGGAGAGAGAGAGAGAAACATTGATAAGAGAATATTGATTGGCTGCCTCCTGCATGCCTCCCACTAGGGATCGGGCCCACAACCTGGGCATGTGCCCTGACGGAATCGAACCAGGGGCCTCTTGGTGCATGGGTTGACGCTCACACACTGAGCCACACAATCCGGGCAGGACCACAGCATTTCTAATCTTGTGTTCCCTCTCACTCTCCCCCACCCCCATCTGTGCTGTTACAAGCTTACACATAGCTAGCTGTGGTTCTCAGCTTCCACCTTGCAGGTCTCTGCAATGATGCTATGGGAGAGGCAAGGAGAGGCAGCAGCTGCTGAGTTCCTGTCTGTGCAGGTACTTTGTGTGTGCTGTCACAGACCCTCAGTAACCCTGCAGCCATGCCTGGAATGGTCTCATGTCCCCATCTATATATATTTTTTAATCCTCACCTGAGGATATTTTTTTATTTATCTTCAGATAGAGTGGGAGGGAGAGGGAGAAAAACATCGACTATTTGCCTCCCACACGGAGGGAGAAGGAGAGAAACATCGACTATTTGCCTCCCACACGACCAGGGCCGGGGATGAACTGCAATCAAGGTATGTGCCCTTGATCGGAATCGAACCTGCAACTCATTAGTCCACAGGCCGACGCTCTACTGCTGAGCCAAACCAGCCAGGGCTCACGTCCCCATATATTAGATAAGGAAACAGCCCAGAAAGTTGGAATGGTGTGCCCCTGCCCTCACATCCAAGAAGAACCAGAAGTAAATCTGACTCTGCCCCAAAGCTTGTGTGATTTGCACCATGTTCCTCCAGAGCTCATCTGATGCTGACAGCGTGCAGGCTGCCCCTACCTTTATCCAACGTTGCTGTTTTTCCGGGTGCATGTTTTAGTCTGACTACCAGCCTCTTCCTCCCACGGGGAGAAAGGGGTGGTGCTGGCAGAGCCAGGCAGTGGGTGGCATCTTATTGCCCCACCACCCTTGTCTTCTGTTCCTCACCCACCTGGACTCTTGGTCCTGGCAGGAGCTCCAAAGATGGATGTCAGCGGTCCAGCTGAGGCTGTGCACCACATGAAGCAGAATGTAGGGGTGCTGAGTGACCTGCAGTTCTTTAATAAGGGACCTGGACCTAGCCTAGATCTGGGGATGAGATGCCTAGGCAGGTGTGGGCAGTGGCTGACCTGGCCTGCCAGTATCCTGGAACCCTCTCCCCTAGTAGGGAAATATGTTTTCCAGATTTTCCAGTGTCCGCATCTCATCAAGCTTCATGGTCACTGTTTTCCGCTGGGATTCCTTGCGCCGCACAGTGATCTGGATGGGGTTGTTCTCAGGGAAGCTGCTCAGGTCATTGGCCACGGTTGCAAACTGAAATAACATGAGAAAACCTCACAGACTTCTTTCCCAGACCTGACCTGTTTTTGCCACCCCTGGTTTGTTTGCTAAATGGAATCTTAGCATTACCAGCCTACCTATTGACACCAAAAACAGGTACAAGGAGGCATGATTCAAACCTGTGATGTTTCCATTCACAGGGCTGTGTACTTGGGCCTCTCCCCCTTCCCATGCCCTTACCCACCCACTCCCAGGCTGTTCCCTTCAGTCCAACCTCTTTCCTGTATCTGTCAATGCCCTTGACTTCCTGGCCCATTCACAATTATTGGTACCAAGTTGAAAGATGAGCATTATAGTAATGCTGATGAGTACATTAGTTTGCATTCCCAGTGGGCACCAGAGTGACTTAATCCTTAAACCTCCCAGAAGAGAGCAGTCTGGAATTGTGTATTTGCGCAGGTAAAAGGAAAGCAAGCAGGGAGATGAGTAGCAGGGGTATATAGGGGTCCCCAGGCTCCAAAGCCCCGGTGCAGACCTCTCCCTGACCCCGGGCTCACTTTGTAGGGCTTGCACCACTTCCCCGCCCCGGCTGTGTTGACGGCACGGACGATGAGGCAGTAACTTGTGTTAGGCTTCAGCTCCATCAGCTTGACGGTGGTACCCAAGATCTTGTGGAAGATCCACGGGCAATTCTTTGTCTTGAGAGGTTCATTGTCATTTTTCTTGACCACCTCCTGCAACAGGACCTGGTAGAAACTGACTGGTTGCTTGCCCAGGGCATAGGTCCAGGAAATCTAGGGGAAGAGAGCCCCCGAAGCTTCCTCAGACCTGGCCCGGCCTGTCCTCCTCCCTCCCCGACCCCTACCTCCAACCCCACATGGGTGGGAATGCCCCACTTCCATCCCCTGCCCCTGCTCCTAGCCCCTGCCCCACCCCCCACTCCCATCCCTGCTGGAGCTCAGGCAAGTCTGATGGGAAGTGTAAGGTCCTCCAGCTGGATGTGGAACCACCAGTCCCAAACAATATGCTACTCTCCCTGCACAGCCCCACCCACCTCAGAGAGTGTCTTTATTCTATTTCTTCTAGCGCGATTTTCAACCAGTGTGCTGTGGTTGAGATTTTTAAAACATGTAATACCTGACACTCAATAGTCAACTGGTATGCTGCAGCACATGCATGTTTTAAAAATTCCCGTGGCACACCCGTTGAAAATCGCTGTTGTAGACTGTCAGTCACCTTACAGATCGTCTTGTCTACCTCATTCATTCAGATGGGGTTAAAGTTTCAGAGAGGGTAAGTGGCTGGCCCACGGTCACATAGCAGTTAAGTCACAGAGTAACATAGCAGTTAGTAGCTCCAGAGCCCATATACTTTGTACTACAACAGTGGTTGCCAAGCAAGCCTGACTAAGGATCCGAGGGAATTTTAATAACACCGCAGATTCCTGGCCTGCTGTCTCCTGTCTGATCTCCTGTTTCTAGTTTCTCTTCCATCTAGGCCAGTAGTTCTCAAACTGGTGTGCATGAGAATACCCTGGAGGACTTGTTAGAATACAGATGGCTGGCCCCTGCCCTGACAGTTTCTGATACTCAGTAAGGTGGGAGCAGGGACAAGAATTTAAATTTCTAACAAGCTGCCATGTGATGCTGACCCTACAGTTGGTCTGGGAACCACGCTTTGAGAAACGCTGCTCTATGCCTTCCAACAATGGGGCATCCAGATTTATCTAAAACACAGCTCAGGCCCTGGCCGGTTTGGCTCAGTGGTAAGAGCGTCGGCCTGCGGTCCGGAGAGACCCGGGTTCGGTTCCCGCTAAGGGCATGTGCCTCGGTTGCAGTTTGTCCCCGGCCCTAGTTGGGTTGTGCGGGTGGCAGCCACTCGATGTGTCCCTTTCACGTCGATGTTTCTCTCTCTCTCTCCCTCCCACTCTATCTGAACAAAAAATGGAGGAATGTCCTCGGGTGAGGATAAAAAATAAAATATAGTAAAATAAAACACAGCTCAGATTGCATCCATCACCAGATATAAAGCTCTACAAAAAGCTGTTCCCTATTGCTTATAGAAAAGTCTGTAAAATAGCCTAACAAGGACTTCTGGAAAATGCTCCCCCCCCCCCCATTTCCTTTCATTACCCTAGGACAGTGCTGGGTCATCAGTACCACCTGGGAATTTGTTAGCGATACAAATTCTCAAGCCCACCCTCCAGACCTACTGAATCAGAATCTCTAGAGAGATGATCAGATCTGCAGGCACAGGAAAGTGAAAAGCCCTGGATTGGGTCTGGGTGTTTCCTCCCCACGTTCCCACCTGTGAGCCTTGGCTAGTGTCAGCCCATCCAGGCAATGCCTTTCCTTCATCTCTAGATGTTTAAATCCTGTATCTGTACCCCAGTTCAAATGTTACCAAGAGCCACCAAGCTAATTCCTGCTCCTGGAAGTAATGTATTTCCCTCTGACTTCCTTGGTGGCACTTGATCAGAACTCAACTCTTCCTACAGCAATGAGCCCTTTCTAGCTTGGGCTGGAGTTCCTTACAAACATGCCCTCTCTCCTAACCCATGAACTTGAGGTCAGGATGCAGGTGGTAGGCATCTTCACACTCCCCACAGAGCTCAGCTCAGTGCCTGGCTCATTAGGAGTGGCCAGTAAGCCTTTGCCAAATGCATGAGGAAGAAAACGTACCACGGCCGTGTAATCGCTGACTGTGTGTTCACAGATAAAGGGCGCCTCTGGCACGTCCGTGACCACGGAGGACTTCGAGGATGTCGAGGTGGTGTCTGTGTCCAGCTCAGGGTTGTCAAGGTCCAGCAGGCCCCCAGGGGCTATTTGGAACTTAGATTTGTGGGGGCAGAGGGCCAGGTCCCCATTTTCTGTATTCTTAGGGGAGATGCTGAGTTTGTTCAGCTCGCCTTCCAGCAGCCCTGCAAAGAAGCTGCTGTTGGGCTGTGTCACGACCAGTTTGATGGGATTCAACAAAGTGGATGAGATGGGGGAGATGCTGGTGTCATCGGAGCTGCATTCAGATTCCTCCCCTGGCATCGGCTTCCTGGAGTGCGAGGGGAGACAGATGAGCACCCCAGCCAGCCCACGCAGCCTGGAAGCTCCCTGGAGGCCAGGCCTTGGGCCTGGCTTACAAGGGCCCCAGCTGCTTCTGAACAGCTCAGAACATCCTACTGCTGTGCAGCAGTGCATCTACCCACCAGGGCACTTATTAGTGGAAATGCATATTCCTGGGCCCCAGTCCCTGGTTGGGATGGGACTGGGGAAGCTGCTAAAGTTAATAGGATCCTCAGATGATTCTGATGCAGGTGTTCTGAGAAACACAAATTGAGAAACACTGCTAAAACTTTAAGTCCTCCCTCCAAAGTGAGGTGCAAATGTCCAGGGGATGACCATAATGATCTACTGGGGTATGGAAAAGTATCTAAAAGAAAAATAAATTAGTCCTGGTCGGTTTGGCTCAGCTGTTAGAGCGTCGGCCCATGGACCAGAGAGTCCCTGGTTCGATTTCCGTAAGGGCACGTACCTCAGTTGCAGTTTGTCCCCAGCCCCAGTTGGGGTCATGTGGGTGGCAACCACTTGATGTGTCTCTCTCACATCGATGTTTCTCTCTCTCTCTCCCTCCCGCTCTATCTGAAGATGAATGCAAAAGTGTCTTCGAGTGAGGATTAAAAAAAAAAAAATTTTTTTTAAGAAAAATAAATTAAGCTTTACTAATATACATTCACTATTTAATGTTTAATGTAATTATTTACTTAGAATTTACAACATTTAACAATATTAATATATAACGTGTAAAATTAACAGATAAATATACATATATTGAGATGGAAGTTCAAAAACTATTTCTTCCATTCTAATTTTTTAAAATCATGAACTATTTTAGATATAACCGAAGATATCAAGAATAATATATTAAGCCCTGGCCAATTGGCTCAGCCGTTAGAGCATCTGCCTGCAGATGGAAGGGTCATGGGTTCAATCCTTGGTCAAGGGCACATACCTGGGTGGCAGGTTTGATCCCCAGCTCTGATCGGGGGTCATTCAGGAGGCAACCAATGTGTCTCTCTCACATCCATGTATCTCTCTGTCTCTTCTTCTCTCCCTCCCACTCTATCTGAAGATAAATTTCTCGGGTAAGGATAAAAAAAAAAAAAGAAGAAGAAGAATATATTAAGCCTTTATTTAGCTATTATCCACCTTCAGAACTAAAGCCTCATCAGTATAGTTAAAGCCCCCTGGACACTTCTCTCCCCACCTCATTCAGAGGTAACCAGTGCAGTAAATTTAAAATTTGGTGTTTATTATTCCTTGTATGTCTTTATAGGTTTGTTAAATATGTATGTTATCCCTAAGCAAGATCTATTTTGCATATTTTTAAACTTTACATAAATAAATGGCATCATTCAGTACATATCCATCGGCAGCTTGCTTTTCCACTCAACATTGTATTTTTTTTATTCATCTGTATTTTACATGTAGCTCTGGTTCAGTCATTTTAACTGTTGTTTAGTTTTTCATTACAGGGATATCTGTGTTGTTTACTAATTATTTGCTACTATAAAGAAAAACCTTGTACTGGTTTCCCACTATTTAAATCTTTTTTTTTTTTTTTTACTGAAGCACAGAACCCCCCAAATTGGCTTTCAAATATTTTTTTTTACATTCACCCAAAGTATGAAATACATATTACATGGCAACCTAGTGCACTCGTACATATACATAAAACTTAAACACACTGCATAAGCCCTGGCTGGTGTGGCTTAGTTGTTTGAGCATCATCCCATGCACTGAACGGTTGACAGTTCAATTCCTGGTCAGGGCTCATTCCCGGGTTGCAGGCTTGACCCCCAGGAGGGGGTGTGCAGGAGGCAGCCAATCGATGTTCCTCTCATATTGATGTTTCTCTCTCCCTCTCCCTTCCTGTCTCTAAAAATCAATAAAAACCATTTAAAAATTAAAATACACTGCACAAACCAGTATTTACTCTATGTGTGATGTGCTCTGGCATTTTTTATGTTTAATTTCATTTTTATGATACTGGTCTCCACCAACTAGAATGAATTCCTGACCCATTAATGGGTCACAACCCACAGTTTGAAGAGCACTTGTCTAGAGAGAGCAGTCAAGGTCACACGATGGAGCTGATGGCAGAGGTGGAACTACAACCCATATCTCTTGGGCCCTAGGCCTGCCCCGTGCTATGCACTTCCCATCTGCCTCTGGTACTTTCTGACTCTTCTCATTTGCTTCCCTCAGCTGCTCTGGCCAAGTCCAACACCCAACACAAATCCCTGGATCCCTTACTCCAGGGCAGCCTCTGACTTTATGGTTGATGGGCCAAATTTTCCTCCCTGAACTCCAGCACCACTGATCTCTTCCTAAGAGACCCTGATCAGCCTAAACCTCCTATGCTAGCTCTTGGTGGACATTTAGAATATATGGTTCCCCCACCAAGATCACTTGTAGGCTGAAGAGTCTGAGTATTGATGCCATTTATACTTCCAGTTGTCCTAATGAATCTCTGTTTTAGATTTACTTTTTCAAAAGACCAGTGCTGAAGTGGGCATGGAAGGCAGCTAGGCACCAGGCTATATACTGGACATCCTCTCTTCTGATCTTTACAATAGCCCCAACTTCCAAATAAGAGACTGAGGGTCCCAGATCTTCTTTACAGCCATATACCTAAGTGGTAGAACTTAGACTTGGACCTGGACTCATAGGCCTAGACCTTCCGGCTATAGCATAAAGTTCCCTATAAGCATCTATCACTTTAACTACACCTGCTACTTACAGGTCCCTTAAAAAATGGACACCATATCATCAGGACCAGCTGCATAGTTTGTGGGTCCCCTTCTTCAAAAATTAATAATTTCAAGAGAATGACAGCAGAACATTAAACTAAGCACGGGGCCCTTCTAAGTGTGGGGTTGTGTGTGGCTGTAAATGTCACACACCATGAAACCGCCCTGCAGATAACTCCCTATGCCCACATCAACCCGCACCACCTCCCCTTCGCTGGCTCACTCCTTCCCTTTTCTAGGACATTCAGCTCACATATCACCTCCAAGAAGCCTCTCTTAACTTCAACCTCTCCTAAGCTATACTAAGCCTCCTCCATTTTCCACAGTCTCAAGACTGTCCAGTCTTAGCACAGACCATGCTGTATTGTTCTTGATCCTTCACACACACACACACACACACACACACACACACACACACACCAGGTGGAGCTCCTTGAAGACAAGGACTGTGCTTTTGAGCTCTCCATTCCCAGAGCTTAACACTGGGCCAGACACCTTGCAGGAGCTCCAAGAGTTTTGTGGCATGAAGTAAAGGGAATCCAGAATCACTGAAGAGAAGCAGTTAACTTCAGTCTGAAGACAGGCTATTGGGGGGACATAATCAGGAAGGAGAAGGTACCAAAAGTAGGGATTGAGAGAAAGGAGCCATGTAGGAGGGGAAGGGTCTGGGTATCTGAGGGAGGAGGTGAGAACCCTAACTAGACTAAGAGGATGAGGAGCACTGTTAACAAATCTCTGACTAATCCCAGAAGGCCTCCTGGAATAGGAGGCCTACATGCGTCCAAGAACCGATTTGGGCTCAGAAACCATGGTACAACCTGCACACATGCTCTTTCCTGGGAATCCAGGGCCCAGGTTATGACAGGTCCAGGAAGTACCTCTTCTTCAATTTCCTCCCCACCCTCCAACTCAGTCTTAGAAAGGAGGAAAGGACCAGACTTGTATCTTACGGTAGATTGATGGTATCTTCCTCCATGAAGTTAATCAAACTGCCCCTTGAGGAAAGAGGGAGTCCTTTGGTAACAACGGTCCTGTTCATAGACTTGGGGTTTGGAAAGGGCTTCGACATTTGATTCAAAACATTGAGAGTTTCCTTTTTCACCATGGCCTCCTCCCCATCTCCCACTTTACAGAACACCTCTGATGCCATCTAGTTAGTTTGGGACCACAGCCGTCACCATGCAGGACAACCAAGCTGACAGGAAGTAGAGAGACTGGGGGCAGTGGACCCACCCTTAGTTTGGTTGGGATGGGAGTGCAATGAGCTGACTTCATAATCATTGCAAAGTGTAACAATTAGGGGACAGTCTCCCCCTTGATCTGAGGCTGCTCTGCCCAGGGCCAGGGTCAGGGTCTGGAGTGGGGTACAGCCAAGGAACAGAGTCCATCACCCTTCCAGCTTTGATGATCTGTGGTTCAGCAGCCCTGCCCTTCTCCAAAGATCTCAAAATGCTTACCACCTATGAATGCCTTTTGGCACTGCCCTGGGAAGGAAGAGGATGATGGTGGGAGAAAGGCACCTGGGCGTGGAGGGAGGTGGCATTGGAATGGTCTCTGGGAGTGCTGAGGCACCATGTCCAGAAATTCTAGACAGCAAACCCCCAGTATGTCCCGTCTGTAGACATAAAGCACAGATGGTACATGGGATTCATGGCTCACACATACCCAGGTTTTACTGCTAGAATGAACATGCCACACTATTACCCCAAGTGGCTTCATGTATTGAGGGACAATGGAGGGTGCTGCAGAGGGATACAAAGATGGACCAGACATTAATTTCTGTTCTCAAGGCAACCACTCTACAGTAGGAAGACATATCACAACTTCGGGGCTGGGAAGAGAGGCCGGCCAAGCAACACTGGCTTTGCACTTAGATGTGGACTTGATGCTCTAAGTCCAGTTCTGCCCTTACAGGCTCTGTCATCTTTGGCAGGTGACTTCACTCCCCAGTTTCCTCATCTGAGAAATAGGGATAAAAATGGCACCTACCTCATTGGATTATGAGGAGATACCTTGTAAGGTTGTTTTGTTTCTTCCAGAGGATGAGGCAAGCAAAGGACATTTAAACATAACAAATCCTATATTTTATGTTCTATATAGTAGTCAGGTTTTTTTCAACATTATTCATAAATGTTAAATATAGAGAAGCAACCCTGACCAGTGTGGCTCAGTTGGTTGGTCGGGCATTGTCCCCTGCACGGAAAGGTTATGCGTTTGATTCCCAATCAGGGCACATGCCCTAGTTTTGGGCTCCATCCCTGGTAGGGGGCGTGGAGGCAGCCCATCAATGTTTCCCTCTCACATTATGTTTCTCTCTCTCTAAAAATAAATGAATAAATAAATAAATACAGAGAAGCAGGTGTCCTCTCTATGTTGTGCTGTTTCTTAGCACCCGTCACAGAATCTGTAATATCCTATCTGATTGATTTAATTCCTCTCCACTGTCCTGCCCGCACTAACAGGCAGGTGCCCTGAGCGTGGGGACTTGTGGAACTTGCTGGCCTAGCGTTTACACCAGGGTCCAGGTAGGTCTGCGTGCGTGTTTGGGAAGGGGGTACAAGCGAACGCGGACGCCGGGTACGTGCGGCTCCTGCTGGCGACTTGCGCCCGGGTGCGCGCGGGGCTCGGGACACAGGAGCCGGGGCGGAGCCGGGGCGGAGCCGGAGTGCGCAGTGGCCCTGGCGCCAGGGGCTTGTTTCCGCCCCGGCCGCTGCGCATCCGTCCCGCACGGCCAGCAGATGGCACTGCCGGCCGCTCTGGAGCCTGGAAGCCGGAAGCGGCGGCGCGGCCGGGGCAGGCGGGCCCTGGGCGCAGGAGGCCCGGCTGGCGGCCCGCACCCTCCGCGCCGCCCGTCCCCGCTCCAGAAAAGAGTGCCGAGGGGCGTCCGGAGAGGGACCTGAGGCCGCCCACGGGACGATTGGCCCCAGGTCCCCGGAGAACATGGGCGTGCTCAGGGCCGGCCTTTGCCCAGGCCTCACCCAGGACATGGTCCAGCTTCTGAGGAGCCATGGAATCAAGACAGGTGACCGTGTGTGCGTGCCGCACAGCTGGGCACGCCGCGCGGGCCGGCCCCTCGGCCCTGGCATACCCGGGAGCGGGCCGTCGCCTCCCTCCTCTGCTCCACACCCCTCTGGAGCGAGAACGCGGGATGGCGGGATTGGTTGAGCCGAGCCCCAAGCAGGGCAGAACCCCTCCTGTGCGCCGGGCACCACGCCAGGTCCTGCGGCTCTGTTAGTTCCCGCGGGCTTCCTCAGATGGCCTGCCCCAAGATAGAATTGTCACCCCATTTTACAGCGCAGGAAACGCCAAGCACCGGAAGGGCCGCCCTCCCTGCCAATCAACTACACGGTTTTGTTTTCAGTGGTGGACCTGGTTTCCGCAGACCTGGAAGAGGCAGCCCAGAAATGTGGCCTGTCTTATAAGGTGAGCTGATGATCTCGTTCCAAACCTGAGTGTCTCTACACGCCTATTCCTGAGCTAAGGGAGCAAAGGCGTCCAAGAGATGAATAAGGAGGGGGCATATGGGACTCTGGAATGCCTCCTCCCCAGCCTGGTCATTGCTCATTGCTGGGTACTCTGGTCAGCTTTGGGTTGAAGTAGCCCAGGCCGCACCCTGAGTTGCCCCCACCTCGTTGGCAGGCCCTGGTTGCCCTGAGGCGGGTGCTGCTGGCTCAGTTCTCAGCTTTCCCCTTCAATGGCGCTGATCTCTATGAGGAGCTGAAGACCTCCACTGCCATCCTATCCACCGGCATTGGAAGGTTTGTATACTTGGGGAAGAAGGTGAGGCGCTGGAGGACATGGATGCTTCCAGCTTGGCATCTGATGCTTAAGTCTAGAGAGAGCTGGGTTTTTCAAACAGAAGTGAGGGCAGCATGGACTGATGGTCAGCACTTCTGAGTGCTCTTACCTTATAACCTCACACTCGTAACATTTTAGATGCATACTTATTTGGTGGGGGAGGAGGATGTCTTGTGGGCTGTAGAATGTTTGGCTGCACCCCTCACCTCTGTCCACTAGATGCCAGTAGCACCTCCCTCCTCTCCAAGTTGTGCCATCAAAAATGTCTCCACATAGTCCTGGTTCAGTTGGTTGGAGTGCTGTCCCATACACCAAAAAGTGGGAGTTTGATTCCCAATCAGGACACATACCCAGGTTTTGGATTCGATCCCCTGTTGGCACATGTGTGGGAGGCCACTGATAGATGTTTCTCTCTCATATCGATGTTCCCCTCCCCTCCCTCTTCCTTTCTAAAATCAATTATAAAAAAAATGTCTTAGTCGTTGCCAAAGGCCCCCCAAGGGACAAAATGCCCCTGATTGATAACCACTGTCCTATAACACAAGAGGTCAGTATTTCATTATTATTCAGCAGATCAGAGCAACTCTTCTCTGGCCCTACTTCCTATTTCACTTAAGGCTAGGACAAGAAAGAACATATGGGACTAATATGTATTGAGAGCCTACTATGTGCCAGCCATTGACTGACTATAGGTTATATAATCTCTTCAGTGAACCCTGTGAATTAGTGATTATTAACCCACTTGAGTTTAGCCCAAGAGGAGCAAGGGGTGGAGGTGGGCCTCAAGCCCTGGGGTACTTGACCCAGAACTTGGTTTATGCCCCATACTCTGCAGCAGAAGGGGACAAGAAAGCTTTCATAAAGGAGTAGTTACATTCCGCCTTGTTGTTTGGAGAGGGAGAGAGTTGGAAGACAAAGGCCACTCTCTGACTGAGGGAGTCTGACCTCTTTACTGGCCTGTTTGTGTGGACTTTGATGCTGAACTCCGCCACCACAAAGGTCTTTGGATTGGTGTGGCCCTTGCTGCTTCCATAACACATTCTCTTGACAAGGTTCACACAGCATGGTGCTTGCTCCTCCTGGGTGGGGGTCTGAGTCTGTTATCCATCAAGCACCGGCTGAGTGCCTACTGGTGGCCAGATAGATGCAGCTAATAAGTGTATGAGTGAGGCAAGGCTCCTGCACTTAAGGGGTATGGGATCCGGTGGGTAGAGAGAAGAACAGGTGAACCCAGTAGAGATGTACAAAAGTGTGGAGGCCGAATAAGGAAGGGGTGATTGACAGGAAGGCAACTTGGCCTTTGGGTTTAGGGAGCTTATAAAACCAACATACTCAGAGGAGGCATTCAGGGAGCAGTCAAGTGGTAAACTGGCAGGATTGCAGCTGCGGTGGGTCACTGCAGGGGAGCTCGGAGCAGTTCAGGAAAGCTCTGTGAAGGAGGCAGGCCTTGGGCATTGCGGACCCAGTGGGCTTTCCCTGGGTGCTGACCAACAGCCAGGCACTTCATAGTGTGTTACTTTATTTGTTTTTTGCAACCACTGATGAGCGCATTACGATGAAAACCACCATTCTGCAGGTGAGGAAACTGGCACTGAGGTTAAGTGGCTTGCTCAAGATTGTGCAGCTCTTATGTGACAGAGCAGGCACTTGAAGCCACGACTGTCACATGCCTAAATCTAGGAACCTAACTTGCCCTCGTCTGCCCTGTTGCCTCCCTCGAGGCAGGAGGCCATATTGTGAAAGTAGGGCTACAGGCAGTGTGTAGGGGTGTGCAAGGTGGATGGGACTAGGGAGGCTGGCAGGGGAGAGGCCAAGGAGAGGTATAGCAGTGGGGGGGGGGGGTTCCATCCAAGGCAGGTGACAGTGGGAGACATGTTGAAGAGGAGATGTGACAAGCCTTAATACCAGGTGAGATATAGGTGTGAAGAATCAAAGTGACCCCCTAGGTTTCTGTGTTCCTCACAGTGGTCTGTGGACAGTTAATGGATATGACTTTTCAAAGGAATGAGGGAGGGGAGTTCTTTGGTCACAAATTTGGGAAATGCTCCATTAACCCAAATTAAAGAGGTTTCTTTGTCATAGGCCTTCTCAGAGCCTTTAGTGCTCATGTGCAGTGTGGATCTTTATAAGGACAGTAAAGCATGTAGTGGACCTTGGAAGAAGCTGTATTGATGGGGGGAGATAGCTGGTTCCTTACAGCCAGAGCAATGTCTTGTTTGTCTCTCTGTCTTCATCATTTTAGAGTAAGGCCTTCAGGAAATGTGGGGCATTCAGACAATGTTTGAACGAATGGCTGAAAGAATGACTAAAGGCCAAATCAATGGGAAATGTGGAGGATAAATCCCAGAAATCATTTGTATTCAAAACAAGTGGTAAAACCCAGGTGTTCTGCTACACAAGGCAGGCTGGGTTTTCCTTGTGAACTTGCCCAGCTAGAGATGATTGGCAGGAAGGTCCTCTAGATGGTGGGAGACACGGAACAAAACACAGGTGAGCCCTGGCCGGTTTGGCTCAGCGGTTGGAGTGTTGGCCTGTGGACCAGAGAATCCCAGGTTCGGTTCCCGCTAGGGGCACGTACCAAAAAAAAAAAAGAAAAAAAACACACAGGTGAGATGGTTGCTGGGAGATGGATTTGGGAATTCCTTATGCAGAGTGGTCCTTACTGCTGAGAATGTGCTTGATTCTTTTGTTGTTGTTTGTTTGTGTTTTAATCCTCACTCAAGGATATTTTTCTATTCATCCTCAAACAGTGAAGGGGAGGGAGAAACATTGATGTGAAAGAGACACATCGACTGGTTGCCTCCCACTCAACCCTGACCAGGGCTGGGGACAAACCTGTACGTGCCCTTGACTGGAACTGAACCTGAGACTCATTGGTCCTCCAGCCCGACATTCTAAATCGCTGAGCCAAACTGGCCAGGGCTGTGCTTGATTCTTGACTACAGAGTCAAGACTAGCATTTAGAATCATCTGGAAGCTTAACTATTTATTCCTAAGTCCCACTTTTAGAAATTTTTACTTCACTGCTTTTTTTTTCTTCTTTATTGATTTAGAAGAAGAGAGAGGGAGAGAGAGAGATAGAAACATCAATGAGAGAGAACATCGATTGGCCACCTCCTGCATGCTCCCACTGGGGATCGGCCCACAACCCGGGCTTGTGCCCTGACCGGGAATCAAACCGGCGACTTCTTGGTGCATGGGTCAACGCTCAACCACTGCGCCACATCGGCTGGGCTGACTTAACTGCTTTAAGCCAGTGGTTCCCAAATTTGTCTTCATATTAGAATCACCTGGGAATTTTTTTTAATGGACAAATTTTTATTACTGATCTGAATGTTAGCAGAGCATTATTAAAAACATTTAAGCTGCCCAGCTGGTGTGGCTCACTGATTGAGCATTGACCCATGCACCAAGAGGTCGCTGACTTGATTCTTGGTCAGGGCACATTCCCCGGGTTGTGGGCCAAATCCCCAGTGGGGGGTGTGCAGGGGGTGGCCAATCGATAGTCTCTCTCATCGATGTTTCCATCTCTCTCTCTCCCTCTCCCTTCTTCTCTCTCTAAAATCAGTAAAAACAAACAAACAAACAAACAAAAAGTTTAAGCTGCCCAGGCCAGTGTGGCTCTCAGTTGATTGGGCATTGCTGGTTCAATTCCTGGTCAAGGTACATACCCAGGTTTCAGGGATGATCTACAGTTAGGGTGCATATGGGAGGCAACCAATCGATGTTTCTTTCTCACATTGATGTTTCTCCCTCTTTCTCCCCTTCTCCTCTCCTCTCTCTCAAATCAATAAAAAAATATTTTTTAAAAAATGTTAAGCCCTAGCCAGTGTGACTTAGTGGATAGAGCATCAACCCTCCCACCAAAGGGTTTCAGGTTTGATTCCCAGTCAAGGGTACATACCTGGGTTGCAGGTTTGATCTCCAGCCCCTGTAGGGACACATACAGGAGACAACCAATCAATGTGTCTCTCTCACATCAATGTTCCTCTCTCTCTGTCCACCCACTCCCATCCACACTCTCTAAAAATCAGTGGAAAAAATATCCTCGGATGAGGATTAACAACAAAAAAACAAAATAAAAATGTTTAAATAACATTTAATGCCCAGCTGGAGTGGCTCAGTTGGTTAAGCATCATCCTGTGTACCAAAAGGTTGCTGGTTCAATTCCCAGTCAGGCCACATACCTGAGTTGTGGGTTCAATACCCAGTTGGGGCATGTAAGGAAGGCAGCCAATCAATGTTTCTCTCTCACATCGATATTTCTCTCTCTCTCTTCCTCTTTCTTAGTATGTCCTTGGGTGAGGATTTAAATAAATAAATAACATTTAGTGTTTTCCCGATTATAAAAGTAATACATACTCATAATAGACAATTTGCAACACACAGAAACACAAACAATGAAAACCACCTCAGCCTGGCTGGTGTGGCTCTGGTTGAGCATCGACTCATGCACCAAGAGGTTGCTGGTTCGATTCCCAGTCAGGGCACATGCCCAGACTGTGGGCCAGATCCTCAGTGGGGGGCATGAAGAAGGCGGCCATCGATGTTCTCTCTCATTAATGTTTCTGCCTCTTTCTTTTTCCCTTCCTCTTTCTCTAAAAATCAATAAAAAGAAAGAAAGGAAAAAAAAAACCTCAGTCAAGAATTTTAGCCTTTTTGTGTTCATACATATATTTATTTTATCAGACTCATGTTAGATAGTGTCCACATTGTTATCATCCCTTTTTGCTTAACATTCTCTCCAATGTCTTAACATTTCCCCAATGTCATTAAAAGGTCTTCAAAACATTTTTTTTTTTTTGATCCTCACCCGAGGACATTCTTCCATTTTTTGTTCAGATAGAACTGGAGGGAGAGAGAGGAAGAGAGAGAGAGAGAGAGAGAGAGAGAGAGAGAAAGAAAGAGAAACATCAACGTGAAAGGGACACATCAAGTGGCTGCCACCCACACGACCAAC